TTTCTTCTCATTCTTTTGCTTGTCTTTTGTGTCCTCATATCAAGGCTCAGTTTTTATACTTCAAAAGGCATCAGTAGATTGGATCCTTTTTATTGGCATTTAGAAGTAATGGGGGATGACACAATGTGAGCTGGGAAGGCAGAGCAACCAAAACAGGCCAGCCTCACAAAGCATGGGAAGCAGGCTAGATGAGGAGCTAGGCTATGTAGCATAGTTTGTCATGACATCACTTCATCACTGTGTTTGTAGCACAGTTGTACTGTGTTGTTTGAATTGGCAAAAACAGGTTCCCAGACTTGTGCTTGCTTAGTTTAACAAGCGGGGAATGAATTCAATAAAGAATGGCTTTGCATAACTGAATGGCCACACAGAAGATTCTTTGCTGTACTTTATTTACTTTTCTGAACTATCCTGTTCATAATACCCTGAAATGAGTTAAACTGACCTTAATTAAAATGTGTTATATATCAGACTTGCAGCATAAGCTTCATAACAGCATGTGATTTTGACACAGCAAACAAATGCTGTATGACATTTTTATGACACTAGTCTTATTGTATTGAATGTTTTATAGCTAGATCTCTGCAACTAATTATTTTATTGTATCATTTAAGTAAAATGATATCCAGTGTAGGTCAGCTGATACATTTCTTTATGTAGATAGTGATGTGATATATTAGCTGATATAATTTTCTTAACATAAATATTTTTGTTAAAGATCCCTTACATTTGTTTACTGAAGAATTGTGATCATGATGTACAATAGCTGGAACATTTTAAAATTAAACTTCTCAGTAGTCTCAGCGGACCAGCATTATAGACCATGTCAATCCACCATAGCAGGCTCCAATGTAGTGTAAACTTTGGCGGTCAGTCCATTTAAGGTAACTGAGGTTAGCAGAAGTTTGAATGGAGTTTGGGGATGGTGCCTCTGAATTGGCAGACTGGGGTGGTGGTCCCTCTTTTTAAGAAGGGGGACCGGAGAGTGTGTTCCAACTATAGGGAGATCATGCTCCTTAGCCTCCCTGGGAAAGTCTATGCCAGGGTACTAGAGTGGAGAATCCGGCTGATAGTCGAACCTCAAATTCCGGAGGAACAGTGTAGTTTTTGACCTGAAAAGGTGGTTTGCCCTCTCCGGGTTGGGGGCGAGTAGCTCCCTCAGGTGGAGGAGTTTAAGTATCTTGGGGTCTTGTTCAGAAGTGAGGGAAAAATGGAGCGGCAGGTTGACAGACGGATTGGTGCGGCATCTGCAGTAATGCGGTCTCTGTACTGGTTTGTTGTGGTGAAGAAGGAGCTGAGCTGCAAGGCAAAGCTCTCAATTTATCGGTTGATCTATGTTCCTACCTGCCCCTATGGCCATGATCTTTGGATCATGACCGAAAGAATGAGATCACGGATACAAGCAGGGGAAATGAGTTTCCTCCGGAGAGTGGCTGGGCACACCCTCAGGGATAGGGTGCAGAGCTAAGTCACCCACAAGGAGCTCAGAGTAGAGCCGCTGCTCCTCCATGTTGAGTGGAACCAGTTGAGGTGGCTGTTTTTGGATGCCCACTGGACGCGACCTGGGGAGGTGTTCCGGGCATGTCCCTCCAGGAGGAGGCCTTGGGGCAGACCCAGAGCATGTTGGAGAGACTATGTCTCCTGGGAATGCCTTGGCCTTGCCTTGACTGCTGTCCCCATCACCCGGTTCCAGATAAGCGGATGAAGATGGATGGATGGATAGAGGTTAGCAGAAACTAGAATAGCTGCTAAGCGGTTGTATGCCTCCACCTCACTGACTTTGACCTTTGGCCACCAAAATCTAAACAGTTCATTCCTGAGGCCAACTGGACACTTGGGCCAGATTTGAAGATATTCCCTCAAGGTGTTCCTGACATATTACATTCACAAGAATCGTATAGATGGATAACCTGAAAAAGGAATGCCTCTGTTCACAGCTATTGCTGGCATGACGACATGACCTGTGGATTCCTGAACCAAGCCCAAGGGTTAGGCCCAGGTTTGGAGAGAAATTTAGAAATTATGTTCAGGTTCAGGTTGGTTTTGGACTCAGGCTAGACAGATGGAGCGCTCAAATGTCTGCTTTGTTTCTTGACAAGAGGAAAGGCACTATACAAACTTAGCTATGCTGGGCTAAGGTCGGGTTTGGACTTTACCTTCTATTAGCTTGTCGGGTCTGGCATGGGTTCGGACAGAATTATACAACCCTATTCATGCTCTATGGAGACATAACAATGAAGCTGTTGTAATATGATTGAAAGCACCAATTTGCACAGATTTATTTATTTATTTATTTATCATGGAATACATACACTGGACAACACACTGACTAGTCAGTGAGCACTGGGACACTATCGTCACATGTTTTGCACCAAACATGGACTAGTTATTTGGGTTGTAAAGGCCAGAAAGGATCAGCGCAGAGTTTGTATGAGATCCGGAATGGAGAGGTCTGTATAGTACACAGGGAACTGGAACTGCATCCCTCTGGCATATCTCTACTCTTTTACCTGTTAATAGTTCCTGTACTATACAGCCTATTTTGCATAGTACTGGTTGCAGATGAAGCTAACCTGTTAATGCTAGGGCACAAAAATCACCATGGGTATACTGCCTAAGGCAAGGAGGAAACAGTGATGGAATTCAAATCTTATCAGCCTTCTCAGTAATGATTTGTCAGGATCAACATCTTCTGAAAACTGATTTGTTTGAGGGTATCTGTGCAATCTGTTGCACCTGTGTGTGTACTTGGAAAGCTCAGTGGTCTGCAGTTTCCCCCCAGTTGCTTGGCAGTTTCTCTCCTCTTTTAATTAGAGAAAAAGCATCTGCAATAAGGATCACAAGTGAAGGAGTGAGAAAAAGAAAGAGTGGTGTTTGCATTGTAAACTAACCCAGCCCATTCATTTTGAAGAAATGCAAGAATCCTTCAAGGCTGGTTTTCTACTAAATTGAAAGCAACTCAAAACGCTTAGAAGAAAGAAACTGGGAAAAAAATTATAATCATCATTAGAGTATATACTGTTTACCTTTGCCCTTTTTCACTATTCAGGTAAACACTTCTTACAGTTTCAGCTTTTAAAGCTGACTATGACTTTTCTGACTATACTGTATCTAAATGCAAGTGAGCATTGGTGAGAGAACACTGTACTTGAATAAAAAAATAATAGTGGACCCATACGGTATGTTGAACTGTATAAAGTTGCTTCAGAAAGTATTCAGACCTTGACCTTGATTGAACTGACATTGGATACATTCCAATTCCCTTATTTGAATGACTGTCACTCTTCAGTCCTTTCTTGACCTGGGTGTCCCCTTTGGTCCCTCACCTTGAAGGCCATCACAAAGCTCTTTTTTCTTCTTCAAGGAGCAATTTTAACAATTTAAAGGCCATTTAAATGTACTGATATTTAGGTACACACTTAAGCTTATAGTATAGTGTATAAGGTCCCACAGTTCTGACAATGTATGTCAGGACAAAAACCAAGCCATGATGTCCAAGGAACCTTCTGTAGAGCTCTGCCATAAAACTGTGGGGAGGCATACATTAGGGCAAGAGTATAAAACCATTTTGATAGTTCCAAGGAGCACACTGGCTTCAATAATTGTGAAAGCTGTAATTGTGCAGTTTGGAAACATCAGGGCTAGGGATGCAAATTTCAAGCAATTTTCCTAAACAAAATTCAGCCACATTAATAATCAATGATGTTAATTGTTAATAATTTATAAAATACATTTTACATAATAGAAATGTTGTGATCTATGTTCGCTGTAATATCTGAGTTAATTTGAAATATAAAGAACAGGTAAAGTAAACAGCAAGTTACTTGAGTTACAAATTAAACAACAAAAAATGACTGTTTAAAATTGCTGAGCACAAATACTGTTGTCAACTGTTGTAAAATCCATGGGTAGTCATCACTTTAGTGTTGATTTTGTTGGAAGTATGTTTAATTAGAGCAATGCATCTTACATGATGGCAGTGCCCTCTGTTCTCTGACAGTTCATTCCCAGTCTGTGGTAACTGCACCTCAGATAACTAGCCAAGCCAGACAGCCACCAGATAATACCTCAGTAGAAGCTTCATGATCCCGTGTTCTTCAGCGCAGCAGTAACAGTGAGCACAGAAATCTGCTGCCACTTTTTTCTTTATTACTTTTGATGGTAAGAGGGTGCATTTGTTTTATAATTTGTGTGACCCATACAGGTGCTACAGCATATTTTCTGACCGTTAACACTACACATCTTCCTATTCCTACCTGTCTATTTTTAGTTGATCAAGTTATTAATGGCACTTAAACTACAGGCTAATCGAGTCATCATTGACATCCCTAAATGGGGCCCTTACTAGTGTTGTCCTACTGGGCAATCAGTCACTCTAGGAGAGCTTCAGAAATCCTCTGCAGAGTTGGGAGAACTTGCCGGATAGGTGAACTGACATCAGCAGTACTCTATCAGGCCTTTTTGTTTGACTGACTAGAGATAATCAGGCACTGCTCATCACCTGCTAATACTATTTCTACAGTGAAGCATGTTGGTGGCAGCATCATGCCATGGGGGTGCTTCTTAGAAGCAGGGACAGGGAGACTGGTCAGAATTGATAGAAGGTTGAATTCAACCAAATACAGAGTGTTCATTGAAGAAAACCTGCTCCAGAGTGCAGTTACCTGAGGCTGGGGTGAAGGTTTACCTTTCAGCAAGACTGCGACCTGACACATAGTCAAGACAACACTGGAGTAGCTTTGGGGCAAGTCTGTTACTGTGCATCAGTGGCCCAGCCAAAGCCCAGATTTAAGAACACATAGAACTGTTACGGAGAACCATATATACGTATACTGGGTCGGACTCAGTAAAAAGGCAGAACTCGGACTCAGGTTTAACCAGGTAAAGGTATTTTAATGACTACAGAACTGATGAGTGGTCAGAACCGGTCTCATCAGCTGATCTCAGGGCAGCGGGGAGTGCTGGGTTGACTGGACTGCTAGAGCTACAACTGAGGTTGTAGGAGAGGCACAGCTGGCTAAAGAAAAGCAGAGGATGAGAATGAGCAACAGTGACGCTAAGATTATGGCAATACTGATAGTATACTGAGGGCCTGAGTAGCAGAATTTACTGGCTCAAGTCAGGTGAATGCCATAGGCATGAAACACAGTCCAGAGGAGGTGTAGGAGCTGGCACAGGAGATCACTGGTCCGGCGTGCAGTAAATGGTGAGGATCAGGCTCGCACCGGACGGTAGAGCAGGTAGAAAAAAAAAAAAAAAAAAAAAAAAAAAAAAAAAAAAAAAAAAAAAGGCCAAAACCAGCAGAGGGTACACCAATCCACAGTAAGACAGTTCAAACACAAAGCGACCCTTCGAAAATAAGAAGGGCATTTAGTTCTTTAACACATGAAATCAGATCCCACAGCATAGAAGCAGTTCATACACCTAGAATCCTTGAAGAAAAGCAAAGCACCATTGATCACAGGATCACAGGAGATCATCTGGCAACGAGGGCACACCAACGCTCCCCTTAAGTGCTAGTCTGGTAATTGAGAGCAGGTGTGCCTCGCCACCTAGAATGCCTTCCCACCTATGTGGAGGCGGAGTTACTGTGACAGCCTGTCCCAGCAGATGAGGTGCTGGGGTTGGTCTGGGCCACAGATGTAACAAGAACACTTCCCATCCAGAGCTTCAGCCAGAAAGAAGGGAATAAACTGTCCAAATCCAGGTGTGCAATGCTTTAAAGACTTACCCAAGAAGACTCAAAGCTTTAATTGCTGCTAAAGAGGCATCTACAGCATTCTGAATCAAGGGTTGTAAAATTTTAGATTTTTAATAAATTAGGTAAAATTTCTAAAAATGTTTTCAGTTTATTTGTTTATTGTGTGATGGGCAAAATCTATTTAAAATTAAATCTACAACAGAGTGTAAAAAGTTATCCATTAAATGTTTACCAGTGGCTTCAGAAAGTATTGAGACCCCTTCAAAGTAGGCTACCAATAGTGTTATTGCCCTGCTTACTATAGTAGAATTTGACTGCTGGTCATGGTATTTGTGAGCTACACAACATGAGAATTCAAAACCCTGGAAAAGCAGCACAAACTCTATACTACATTTCAATCACTGATTTCAGTCTGTTTTCAACTGAAATGTTGCTTTAGTTTCACTATTTGAGATGAACCATTCATGTGCTGTGTCCTTGTCCTTTTGTTTTCCTCTGTGGCTTATCTACAGCATCTGCATGATGCCTCCTATGTGATGAGCTGCGTTAAACACTGGAGTAGCTCAGATAGCGTTAGCATCATTAAGAGAGCAATAATTACTCAGCACAAAGGGCTGCATTAGTTTGCTGTTCTTTTTTTGGTTCACTGTAGTCCTCACTGACTTATTTCCCACCTTCTGTTGGCAACTTTGTTTTTCCTCAGTACATGCTATTTTTCATACATCTAAATGAAAACCTTAGAAATCTGCTGTCTTTCTCTTTATTGTATTCTTATTAAATTTTTTATTTTTCTTTTACTTGCTGTTTTTAAAGTGCCTTTAGATTGTTACTATTTATCTATTTTATATTTCACTTTGTATTGTTTGCATTCATTGTGAACAGCAAATAAGAATTTCATTGTACAGAGAAACATGTTTCCTTGCTGTGCATATGACAATAAACACTTTGACTTGACTTGACTTAACCATATAGCTATTCTAGATGACATAGCTATCGCCTCCAGTACTACTGTGAGGAACCTTGGAGTCATTTTTGACCTGGATATGTCCTTTAAATCACACATAAACCAAGTTTCTACAACTGCCTTATTTCACCTGTGCAATATCACAAAAATCAGGAACATCCTCTCTCAAAGTGATGCTGAAAAACTGGTGCATGCATTTGTTATTTCCAGGCTGGACTACTGTAACTCTTTGCTTTCAGGATGTCCCAGTAATTCCATAAAAAGCCTCCAGTTAATCCAAAATGCTGCAACCAGAGCACAGACAGGAACTAGCAAGAGAGATTATATTTCACCCATATTAGCTTTGCTCCACTGGCTCACTGTAAAATCCAGAATAGATTTTAAAATCCTTGGATCAGGTGACCCTGAGGCTTCCCTTAGTTATGCCTAGGCTGCTGGGGGGCCCCATGATGCTCTGAGTTCCTCTTCTCTCCTGTCCGTGCATATATATGCCACCATTACACATCACTAACTGTGTGTCTCCTCTCTCCCATAGTGTGTCCTCTCTCTCTCCCTGTACCTTTCTGCAGGTAGCCCTGGCTCTGGAGCTCTACATTTCTGATGAGCAGTCAGTGACCACATCAAGCTGCCCAGTGCTTGATTGTATGTTGTGTTTTGTTGCCGCTCTTTCTTTTCTCTCTCCTCTATCCACTCACTCCAACTGGTCGAGGCAGAAGGCCGCCCACCAAGAGCCGGGGTCTGTCAGAGGTTTCTTCCGTTAAAGCAGTCCTTCTCAAATAGTGGGGTGCGCCCCCCTGGGGGGGCTCGGAGCGAAGACGGGGGGGGTGCGTGTGACCCCGGGAACATGCTTTTTTGCCACAGGAAGTAGGGGGTTTTGTGCCGAACAAGAGCACACAGCATAGAGCAGGAGATATGACGTGCAGTGAACAAACCCTCTTTGCTCCCTGCTGTCCACTTTTACCGTCTGCCTCGAACTCTATAGCTCTTTTTGCGTTTCAGGTGTAAAAATTAGATGACATGTGGTGACATTACCCCCAAATCAAGCTGATAAGCCGCTTGAGTTTTTTCAGCGAGAACGTGCCGAATATTGTCAACAATTGTCCCGCTTTCTTTTTTTTGTTTTCTTTAATGTTAATAAGGATACAATGTTATGCAGAGGTGTACTTATAACAATTTTATAAACAAATGACACTATTTACAGTCACGGCGGAGAGTTGGGGGGCGCGAAATGTTTACTTCTTCCTACGGGGGGGGGGGCGTATCAGAAAATAATTGAGAAGCACTGCGTCAAAGGGAGTTTTTCCTCCCCACTTTCACCAATTGCTTGCTCAGGAGGGATTTGTTGGGTTTTCCTCTGTAAGAATAGTGATAATAGTAAGGTCTAGACCTTACTTTGTAAAGTGTCCTGAAATTACTTTTGTTGCGATTTGGTGCTATACAAATAAATTTGAATTAAATTTAATCTCCACACTGCTTCAAATCCCACATAGTATGAAGGTTTTCTAGTCTCCTGCAATTTCTTGCTGGACAGTATGTCTTCCAGTCTGAGGAATTAAGTCTCTTTTCCCATTCCCCCTCTCCCTGTCTTTCTCTCTTTGCTCCCTGCTGTCCACTTTTACCGTCTGCCTCGAACTCTATAGCTCTTTTTGCGTTTCAGGTGTAAAAATTAGATGACATGTGGTGAGTGGTAAATTAAAGTGAATGTCAATCACCTTCTTTTATTATCCTCTGTCCTGCAGGCATTACTCCCTGGTGGCTTTACGTACTTGCAGGGATTTTTACAGCTCTAGTGCTCTCTGCCTCTCTTTCTTTCTTTCTTTGTTCACATAGGCTACACCACACTACATGCTAATTGCATTCCACAAGTAACTGTAGCCCATTCAATTTTTGACTAATCCTTAGAAAGCTGTTTTCCCCCCAACTTCATCCAATTTGACTCCTCTTAGGATCCCCATCTTGTTTGCCTGACCCTTTTCCCTGTAAGGCAAGCCCCCTTTAACATTAAATAGGGGGCCATGCTATATATTTATGGTATCTGCAATGTATTTATGACTAGTCAAAACTATAATTTATAATATCTGTAATAAAATTTTAAAGATATCTTTAATGGGATTTTGACTAGCTATGACTAGATAAAGATATCCTTAATTTGGCACATTTAAAAGATATCTAAATAAAATATTTTTTGGATATCACAAATTAATATTTCAATAGTTGAAGCTCCATTTTTACTAGTCAAAACTTAAGTGCAGATATCTTAAATCTGAGTTTTGACTAGTCCAAATTGTTTTTAAGATTTCCACAAAGATATTATGAATATCTTGTAAGGGTATTTATGGATGCTCCTTTAACCCTTGTGTTCTGTTAAGAATCTTAACATAAAAAAGTTACCCACTATTCACAAGATATGTACATTTGTATTTTGGCTTGTAAAATTTACAATACGTGTAGTCAAAACTATAATTTTAGATATCTACAAATGCATTTTGACTAGTGAGAATGACAATTCAGGATACAGTATCTATAATTACATTTTGAATAGTCACAATTCTATTTTGTTTATCCAAAATAATGTTAGACAGCATCCCTTGCCTGTGTTATCGCTTCCGCTGGTCAGTGTTAATCATGGAGTTAATAATGAATACAGCAGCTGCATTAGATATGAATGGATGATGTTAAACAGATTGTGATTTCACTGGCATCTTTGTCCAAACCAGACTGTGTGTGTATGTGTGTGAGTGCGTGCATGTCTTATTTCTGGGGAAGATGTGTTTTTCAGTTAACACACACACATCTATATAGCTGTGTTAGGACAGCTATCAATCACAGCTAATCAAATCAGCTCTTCCCCTTTAAAATTAGATTACTTGCTGCCACAATGTGCTGACATTTTCATAACAGAGAATACATCAGACAGGCTGGTAGGAAGAGGAGATTGATCTTGTGTTTTAAGGCAAAATTCTAAGCCATGTCTCAAAGGCTAAGCCTATTCTGACAATCACTCTTTGTCTGATGGTTTTGGTGGCCTTTAAATTTATGTGGGAATTTAGCAAACACATCAGAATATTAAAGAATACATAGGATACAATCAGACAACTTAGAATTCTCCTTGACAGAAGGATTGAGGGATTTGTGATGCTTAAATGGTGCTATGATTTTGAAAAAAAAAAGACTCACAAATACAATTATTTGTCCAGTGAGGTAACTCCTAATAATGGGAATAACCCTTCTTGCTGGCCAAATGAGACGGGTCAACTGTAATTATGATAGTTCATCATTTTAATTAGCCTGTGTTTTTTATGGAAAGAAGTCCCTTTCATAATAATCTGTTGCAAGGTATACATTTTCAGGTTACGTGAGTGTGATGCATGTGCAAGAAACACAGTAATTCAATTTGATTACACACATTTATTGTAAATGCTACAGTAACGATCACTAAACCCGGGCAAAGACACTAATTGGAAAAAAAAAATACAAGGCCATGATGAGAGAATAAGTGAGAGCCAGGGACAGGCGATGTTTAAAAGTTCTGACTAATGATGTTAGTCCTATAATAATTACATGATTTCTAAT